CTCGAAACAAAAAAAAATCGACTATATTATTTACGTTCACATAGACGAGCAGCATAACGACTACATGACGGATCACATGATCCAAGAATTGCAGCAATCGATGATATTTTCTTTGATGAAGTGGTATGAGTGATCTAGAACAAGAAATATATTTATCTAACGACAGATGGATGGTATCTCAAATTAAACCATGTTGTTTACAATGAATTTTATTCATATGCAGTTCTTTCTAGATTTTGTAGAGTATTAGATAAACCTTTTTCTCCAAAAGAAAAACGTTTTCTTTTTCCATTGAAACTTTTAGAGTAACATTTAGGCAAAGTTTGAAACTAAAATACTCTTGTACTACGTAGGTAGAAGAATTAGTAAAATAGCTATAACATTCAAAAACAAAGGAAAAAACGAGACTTTAGTATTCTGAAGTACAAGTGAAATGACTTGTATCAGTTGAAGACTTTCTCAATTTTGATGAATTGAAGAACAAAAATTGAATATTTACATCTGCACCGAAAAACATGAAACGGTCATTTTTCGACGCTTGGCTAAATGCAGTTTTCAAATTGACGATACCATTGATGCCACCAATTTTAGCGTTGATTTTTTGACTTAAATTTTCTACATCTGAAAAAGCAAATTTTGCTAATATCAATAAAATCTAGTAGAAAAAAAAAATACAATCACTCACACATATGAAGTTTTTGTGAATTTCGTTGTACTGCTTGAAAACTAGCGCATTGAGTTATTAGCCCAAGTTTTTGGTTTCCTAGTTGTTTCACATAATTGTTTACTGTTTCGTTCAGTATGACAATCGCCAATTGCCAACATTGATTTTTAATATCTCCGAATGCTTTGTCAATCTCATTTTTTTTGACTCGGCTTGGCTATTGTTATCGGATTTGAATTGATTACAATACCGTATCTTTTTAGTAACTGTTAAAATTGGCAAAACAAATTATGTGCTCTATCGTCAAATAAAATTTCTAACTTACCGATGGTAACTGTTGTTCGGAAATTTTTAGAATCTCGATTATATTTGCATCTGGTTTCGTACCAAAATAAATCATGTCCCATTTATTGATAACCGACGTTGAACAAAATTGATTTCGAATTATCCATTTACCGAATGTAACATATTCAACAATATCTTGATTATTTTGTCCTCGATATGTTATTTGAGGTAGTGGTAAAATTCGAGCTATATTCAACAAACAACATGTAAAACTATTTATTAAAGAATAAAATATTATTTACCGCGAATTTTCAACATTTCTTCCGCTTTCACATGAATATTGAGTACTGGTAAATAACGATCAGCATTGAAATTGCGGTTTCTTATAATATCCATTATTTTATCGTAGCGTTGACTAGGTTCAACAATCGATTTTTTCGCTACTATAGCTTGCTGTACACTGTCCAATGATCTCATAGCACGTTCCCATTCAACAATCTATGAAAAGACAAAAATGTCTTATCTATTTATAACATTCATAGAATAAATGGGTAACCATTAATTAATAGAGAAAAATTTATTTTCTTCTTTGTGAGCGTCATGTTATCTCGAAATATTAATTGCTCTAATCAAAAGTGAACGTTTTCTTGTTTCTCATTGCAGTTGTATGAATTTCTTTCATTGAGTTCTTTTAACGATAACTATGTCGAACTGTCATAACCTGTCTCACTTTTCACTAAACATTCTATAGCATCTCTTCTTTGGCTATATTACATTGAACATTCCAGTACTGTCAAAAATTGCATATCATTTTGAAACTGCATTGAATTGAAAAAAAATTTTTTATATTCATTCAATTTTTGCTTTTGAATAGTCAACTGCTCGGATGCTATCTGAAGTGTGAGGGTAAGTTCTCGGCGTTTTCTAAATGTTCTTCTAGAGATATGCTAACAATGAATGAACACCGATAAAATGTATTCTTTTGCTAGATAAAAATGAAAAATATACCTGAACCGTTTCCATCGGTAACCACTGAGCTCGTTCTTCTTCACCATTTCTAGCATCAATACATGGCAAATGCGGATACGTCAGTTTTTTATATTTCTTCTCAAAGTACTCCGCTACAGTAGTTTCTTTTCGTAGTGATGCACTTTCTGAATCATCGATGCGCCTTAGATCAAATGTGAGTTTGTTTGCCGGTAGGCCAAAGCGTTTCAGTCGATATTGAATAGGACGTCTTGCATGGGTGGTTCTTACTATAAAATTGAGAAAAAACAATATTCTAAAGTAAATCGAAACAGTTTTTATCCGTCATACTTGGCAAATTCCAAAACAGTTCTTCCATGCCTTCCAATTCAGCTTCGTTTACTCCCTGTCTAATGTCTTGGCGTAAATATCGACAGGCAAACTCGACGAAATTTAGAGGTTGATAAAAGCATGTGAATGCTAAGTTGACATTGATCGTAGGACCACCTCGAGTCAAGCAAAGTGCTTGATGAAAGCCACTTGCCAAACCGCGTCCATCTCCTAAATATTTTTTTAATGGTTATATATCAATTTTAGTTCTTTTTCAAACGAACACTAACCTAGATCAGTTAGTTTCTGACGTCGATCGTAGTATTTACTTCGTATACAAACGTATTCATTATGTACGCTTTGTTTAAATAAAGTTTCTATGATCCGTATAGGATCACGTGGTCGTATTGCGGTTTTCCCACGGATAAAATCGA